GTGTTTGTGTGCCACTGTCAGTGGAGGTGTGAGCTTTTGGTGTGGAAACGACTGATCCATGAGCTTGAGAAGGCCAACCGGACTACGATGGCATGGGCGACCCCGAGAAACTGATGGCTGTGTACTGTCAAAGTACCAAAGTAACGATGGAGACTGAGCCCGAAATGAGAACCTTGACTTGTCTGGCGTCTGACGATGCACGAGACTGCCTGGGAAAAAAAGCTTTTGGCTCGCAAGGCTGTCTCTCACGGAGCGGCGAGGCTGAAGCACATCATCTGTCGCCGGCCGTATTTTGCCTATACCAAGACAGACATCAAAACAATCAGAATTCAGTGGAATCTCATTCACGAATTTCAATTCGCGCCAGCCTTGAAATTTCTTCCTTTCCAGTTTCAAAGAGGGGTATCTATCCAACGTCCATAGCACCTGTCTCACACAATTCCAACTCCAATATGCGGCGGTTCAATCCCGTCACGCTTGCTGCTCTCGCCAAAATAAAGAAGTCGGTTGATTTGAAATGTCGTTTCGACTCTTCCACATTGTCCCAAACCAGTAGACCGAAAGTTCATCACGGTCATCACCTCTCTGTCGTCGTCACATCGCAGGTATCATTCCAGATTACATGGTGTGCAAATAGCATCGTAACCTCACCTCACTTCACTAGCTTGGTCCCGGAACTGACAACCACAAACTCCACGTCTCGACCGGCTGATCGCCAACGTTCGGTGCCCCCCGACACCAACCAGGGTTGAAGATTTTTACATTGGCTCACATCGAATAACTTGAGTTTTTGACATCCTTCAACCACGCTTTGCACCCCGAGACCGGTTACACGAACGCATCCACGAACTGCCAGTTCTCTCAAGGAGGTTAAGTGGAGACCGATCGATCTTAGACTGGGATCCGATACTGCACTGCCACAGAAGGAAAGATTGAGGTGCGTCAGGTTTGGACAACCAAGAGCCAGAACTTCGGTCGCGGTGTCGGACAAAGCGCAACAGAAGGACTGTTCGGCCCAGTCAGCCTTATCACTTGTCATCAAACAAAAAGATATGAGCTCACCAGATCAAGTTGTCTTAAACCACTGCCGGCTCCATTCACCAGCCACACAATACTTTGATCGCTGAGATAGGTGCAGTCAGCCAAACATAGCTTCCTCAATCTTTCAAATTTGACATTCCCCCAAAATTGAAATCCGGCATCTGTGATTGTCGTACATCGAGTCAAATCCATGGATTCGATTCTTCCCTTGGCATAAGTTGCAATGTGCGCCATTGTTCGATCGGTAATATGTTTGCAATAGCTCAAGGTGATGGAAGACAGATCCGGGCATCCAATCACCGTACCGGGGGCAGGCTGCGACGCAGGATTGTTCAGCTTGGTGTTGAGTACAGGGCGCTGAGCACCGGTCTTGTTGCGTTGGGTGGTTGCTGGAGGTTGTGCGGTGACGACCCAACCCACTATCCTCGCCAGCAATGTATCACTGACTTTACGACAATTGCTCAGATCGATCTCCTTTAGTCCACGGGCCTTGTTTGCCATCTCCAGTATGGTGGGAGCCGTAACATCCCAAACACTCTTCATACGCCAGGTTTCAACATGAGCGCCACAGGTTTTGACTAAAGCGGCAAAACCTTCGTCGGTGACGTGAAAACAATTGCTGATATCTATTAACCGAGGTCTCTCGCCAACGAAAGGGCAGATGCGATTGATTAAGACGTCGTCTGTGACTTTCCGGTTGTATCGTGATAGGTCGAGATGATGTAATAAATTCGGGGCCGTGTGGAGAACATTCTGCCAATGAACTGATACTCCTTGGGAGCGCATCAAGTCGTGCAGGTCGAGGTGCTCCAGAATCAGTGGTAACACTTTCTCCGGAATGATTCCCCGATTGAGACCGCGGCTGGACCGTGGTCGAGGCTTCGGTCGTCCTCCCGGAGAAAATGGGTCAGAGAATGGAAATCCAGAGCCTTTATGCTCAGAGGAAGGCGATGGTGTCCCTGATGCCGAACTTCTTGGAGATGGACTGCCGGCTGTGACAGGAGATGCTCTGGGAGAACGTCGTTTCTGTTCTTTGGGCGGTTCGTCCGCAGGCGGCAGCGCAAATGATCCTCTTCTCGACCGAGATCTCACCTTTTCAAGACCTTCACTCAGAAATGGATCGGGATCTGAAGGTTCTAGAGTAACCGGCTCGTCCGTCTGAACAGGCTGGATGGAGCTGCTGATCTCGGCCTCGGTGAAAGTGACTCGGGGCCCCTGCGTGGCTTTCTGGAGAGTTTTCTCCGTGTCCTCTATCGCCAGTTGATTGATGTTAGGCTCCGTGTCTGCGTCATTCATCACCACGTCGTTATCCAAAGCCGTTCGTAATCTCTCTTTCGCCGTATCTTCAATCTGCTGTAATATGTTGGGAGGACACCGATGCCAAAAATCTGCCAACACGTTCTCGGAGATCATCAGGCATTCGACTTGCGTGACCGATCGGACCGTGGCCGTCCGGCGATCGGCCAGAGATAAACTCACCACCTCTCCGAAGTACTGTCCTGGTTTGAGACGAGCCTTGACTCGTGGTGTCCTTGGTACCCCATTGGGTGAACGGGACTTGTGAAGTTTGGGACTGGAGACATTCTTCTCATCCAAAACTTCCACCTCGCCGCGAACAATGAAATAAACGTCTCGTCCTCGGGTATCTTGCTTGATAATATCGGTGAATGGCGCAAAACTCCTCGGCTGGGCACTGAGACCGAGAAAATGGAGGATCTCCGGCGGCAAAGAAGCAAACAATGGCAGTTCCTTCAAGGTGGCTCGGATGTTGACAAGACCATGTCCCAACGCACTGGCTGTTGATACTTCATTCGTTCCCGGACTGGGAGATTTGCGCCTCTTGCTTGAACTGGTCACGTCGTGATCGCGATCATCCATGTACACATCTTCTCCGAATGCAGCTCTGGCCCGTTTCGACCCTCTTCTCTCGTGGACTGGAAGATCTTCGGTCCCGAGCAAGACTTGTCGTTTCTTCTTCTCCAGCTGTGTCAATCTTTCCAGTGCCTCTTCTCGGATTGCTCGTTCCACGTCCGGATAATTGGGTAACATCTTTTTCAAATCCTCCTTTTTCAGGACAAATACCATACACCTTGTCCGGGCAACCACGGTAGCAGTACGTGGGCGTTCCATCAGAATTCCAATCTCGCCAAAGAAAGCCCCGGGCTTCAATTCAGCATAGGTACTCTCACCGTCGCGTGAGGTGACAGCCACAGCGCCTCGGACAAGCCAGTACATTGCTTTGGCGTCTTCCCCTTCGGTGATAATATAGTCATTTGTATTATGCAGTTGAGGTTTGAGGAGGAGGCCAATGTCGGCAAGGAAACTATCGGGGGTGGATTGAAAGAGAGGAAAGGAGCGAATTCGGTCGATCAAATCCAAAGGCATTCCCTGAATTTGAGAGGTTGCCAAAGGAGATTGTCTGACAGGTCGCGACGGGTTGACCTTGGAGTCAAAGCTGCGGACGAGGGACACCTCTGCGGAAGGAGGGGAGGCCGTCCGCCCGTGATAGGGAGAAAGTGCCCGTCCATGATGTCGACGCATGTTTTCGGAGGAAGATCGTGTGTGAGCGCGTGTTCACACAAGATGAACGACTGCTCGTGGTGTGGTGCCCCTCATCCCATTTTCTCGGGCATGGTGCGAGGGCATTCAACGCTGGCTCAGGAACACAATCGTCTGTGGCTATCGGAGTACAGAATCGGCCTGGCGGGAGCAAAGTGACAGCGCGGCACCACTGCGAACTTTTGTGTCTTCCTAGCTTAGTAACACCGTGTAGCAGATGGGACGAGCTACTTCTACTGGGACCGAGTAGGTGTGGTCAGTAAGTCAAGTTAAAGGATGTCGGAGAGTGCAGATGCAGATCTCGCAGGGGAAAGTCGGGAACAAAGCGTCGCAAGGGTTGGATATTGCTGAATTGTCAAAAGGGAAAGCGCGACCGGAGGTTGATAGTTAATTTTTGGACTGAAGACGGAAAAGATGGATGGTGAAGAAAAAGTGTCATGGGCGTGCTGCATCCGACGAGATCAGGTGTAGGAAGCGAGGAGGCGAGTAAAGGAACGGAACATTGGCAGCCACAACAAGCACAGCGAAGCAAAGCAAACCAGGAGAGAACATCAATCCAGCCAACGCCAGCAAGCGACTTTCAGGACAGGCGGGGAAGACGGTAACCACCATGTTAAAAAGTCCACAAAAAATGCAAAGCAAGCTGTTGGAGATTCCCCCCGGCTGTAAAGGAATTTCTCGAACGTGTACCAAGAATGCTAAGGGAGCCTAGGATGAACGAGGGAGAAGGGATTGGATAAGGCTGGGGAGCCCATTGCCTCATGAATGGACGGAACATCAACCACCAGAGCTAGCATCCAGCACTCCGCTCCTGTTTGGGATTGAGATTGGGGGATGCTATCCTTGTTCCTATCTTTTGTTCAAATCCAGCATCATGCTACGTACATCTTGTTTTCGTTGCGAAATTACTTCGATATGAAGCGAAACTGGTAGGATACTGGGATGGCGCACGAGCCTGGCGAGCCCATCGCCAACTTCGGCGGTGGCCAGGGTTCGCAAAAAAAGCTTCGAGCCAGAGGGGTATTTTCCAAAGTTCCCATGGCCTAGGGTCAGCATTAGAGGAGGGATAGCGAGAGCTTTTTGTTCGTCAGCAAGACCAAAACGCCCTGTGCTGCACGGTCAAAAAGCTCTGCAACCGCGACTTGTCTTGATAAGCGATCCAACCGTTTGGCTCAAGAGCTCAAGCCTCCTAGGGGTCGTTCGGAGACTAGAAGTCGCCTAGAAGACAGTTAGACGGGTCGCCTGATGATGCCCTAGCCCTGACAACTCAGGGTAATTGGAAAGAGTGAGATTTCCTCATCAAGAGTCAAGTCCTCGGATGGTTGTAGCTTTCACATTTGGGCTTTTGGAGCCTTTCCCCCCCCCCTTTCTTCTGTTATCTTCTCATATTCGACGCCACCGCCATGATATAGAGGCAAATCGACATCCACTCTCTCTGTTTGCTTAGAGATGGACCAGCAGCTCTCAATCTCGGGCCGAACCATGGTCTATCAGCGTTCCGAACTCAGAGGCTCGTCCTCCCTGGTCCAACATTTTCCCCCATCGGCCAAGATAAAATGGTGTACCTTGAGTGCCGTTAGAAAGGATGCTGTGTAATGCGTAGCGGTGCAGTTCGCTCACCCGTATCTCGTTCTTGTTGCATCCGACCCCGTGGGCAAGACTCATGCCCGCAGGCAGTCAATAGACACCTGCATTGCAATTAAAAGAGTGCCGGAAGCGTGTTCTAGCCCATGCTTTCGCCGTCACTTTGCGAGAAAGTCTTTTTCTTCAGCCACGCAATATAAGCCGGGGGCTTCCCTCGAATTGTGGCGGTTAGATCTTGTATCAAGCCGTACATGACAGAGAATTTCAGCGCAACCTTTGCCGTCCGGGCCGCAGCAAAATGATCCAGTCCTCGTTTCCAGCTGTAGAAACCTGCCAGGCTCATTCCTGCAATGACTGTACTTCCAGCATCTCTTTGCCCAGTCACGATATCATCATCCCCTCGAGCCAACAGCCGGGCTCTGGACAGATCAACCATCTCTTCAGTGACCATGAATAGGGTTGCCCACCCCAAGCAAATGGATCCGAATCTGCATCCTTCTTTTATCCCTCCAAGCATGGCATGGTAATTTTTCGATTTTTGATATAAAAACCACCCTGTCTGCGTGGTCGGTAAGCGATGAGCATTTTCGGCGCGATAGCGATATGCTCCTTTCTGTGACCCTTGGGAAGCTCCCAAGGTGAAGCCACAAGCAAATGATGCGAGCATCAAGGTAGGTGCACGAAGAATAAAGGGGATCGAGAGTCGTTCATTTGGCCATCCTGTAAACGTGACCGCCCTCTCCTCGGTCGGCGGTTGCAATGTTTCTTGCGCAGACTGTGTTGTGGGAGGTTCAGTGTGGGAATCACTTTGCAGTATCGGTGGTACAGGGCCCTCATCCGTTTGGTTGACTTGCGAGGAATTGAAGGGCCACATCCTGAGATGCGTTCTGTGTCGTTCGTTCAATCGCTCATCCCCTTTCCTACCCACAACGTTCAACCCCAAGGACCTCGTACCGTCCAAGGAGAGAATATTAGACAAGAACCATGGTACCTTGTGTCTCTCGATAAGAGGATAAGCAAGATAGAAAGATTACGATAGAAGTGTCCAACTCCGAGAGAACAGTGTCACTAAGGAAGCGTTAGGGAGGTCGATTTGCGGGGCCGCGGTGCAAAATTTTACCCTGGCACTGACCGTATGGCCATCAGTCTACCAGCTCTGTACCCCGGTCTTGATTTATCGTCTACGTGCGCGGGAGAACTAACCTTCTGTGACACAGAAGCAACAATTATAAAAATTCACCGAAGATGTCGGCAAATCACGATGATGAGCTGAGTGCATTGCCCACACGTGAAATGATCACACTACTGTTCAAGTGCCACAAGTCCACCACCGTTCTATCAGTCCTGCCTACCAAGCCATTCTCCGAGATCAAAGCCCTCTTAGTCGCTGCCCTACAATCACGAAATATCAAGACACTACCAAATTCCACCATCCCACTACCAGATGATCCTGACGATTTCGAATTCGGCGTTCTAGTGGACAAGAAAGACTCAAGCAAGGGTTGGATATCAATTGAGATCAAAGAGCAGGAACTTGCTGGCCCCAAGCGCACCAAAAGGAAAGTAGGAGGTCCAAAGAACGTTCTTAACGAGAATCCAGAGACTGCTGGCTTGACGGATGGCACCTGGGTGGCCTACAGAATCAAACCTCTGCAGAAGGCACCTCGGGAAGAAGATGAAGGTCCAGAAGAAGGTACCCCAGATGTTGAGATTGATGAAGATCCCGGTTGGGACGTGGTCCTCCCAAGTTTTGACGATGAGGCCGAATGAAAATCGATGGGACCACATCCCACCACCGCCAAACGATTAGAAACGAGCTAGAGGTTCCAAACCCAGGGTTGAAATGGTGATGAACGACTGATTTTTGGTTTTTGAAGTGCACGTAATATGTATGCCTGTCTTGCTCTTAGCGAGATATCAATGGCCGAAAAATTGTCTCTGCTGGACTCGTTCGGAGCCCGGTGCCCGGAGCGGGTCGATGAGGATACCAGATGATGGAGACGGAACGACGAAAAGGCGCCGTGATTTGGGGTGTGCTATATCTGGGAACACCCCCCACAGGAAAAGATGCGACGGGATAGCTTTCTGCTGACCCTTGGAAGTTGATTTGACACTGCTCGAGTGGCAACTTCCTGGGGCCACTCAACCAGGGTGAAGGAGCATCAATCGACATATTAGTTTCATCTGCTCTAGGTACGGAGGGATTGTCGGGCAAGCTAAGCTGTGCGGCTGGACAACAAAGCCCCCCTGTGACCCCGGCCTGTCCATGGGATGCGCAGCTTTAGAGAGAGCCAAACACGGAAACAGAGACCAAGCTATTTAAATAATTCTAGCCTGGCCTGGGCAAATGTCTCGCTGCTGTTCAGGGCTTGGTATCAGCCGCGTTGAGCTGACGCCCTTTTTTCGCCCTGTCCTTCAAGTCTCCCCTCTGTGTTGAATTCCATCTTCCCCGTCCGAGACAACATCTGTAGCATCTACTATCTCATCTTCCACGGCGAGTGCGTATTCAATGCGGCCGTTCAAGTCAAACAAGTCGCAGGCCTCCATTGAAGATCGATTGACGAGCTCGCGCGACGGGAGTCCTACGCAGCCAGAACACCAGCACCCCAGCGGCGTCTACGGTGGAGCTCAATTTGATCTCGCCCATCCAGACCGCTACACTCAAGAACAGCCACCGGCCCTGAGTGATAATCAATATCAAGTCCAAGATCGTCCGGCCCATACCCAGCCTCATCCTGCTCCGCCGTTGTCCCGCATTCAAAGCGGTCGCACCCCTTCTGTCGGCGAAGTGTATGGCGCACAACGACCCAGTGTGAATATTGTTCCCCTGCCGTCACAACAACCATCTGTCGTTCCCGAAGGTCCCGCGCCGATTCCTGGCCAGACCTCCTTTGGCGCATCGAGACAAGTCCGAACCGATCGTGACAAAGACCATAAGCGGTCCAAGCTGAGCTTCATCACCGGGTTCATCAAGGACAAGGCGAAAGACGAGGACAAGGAGAGAGAGAAAGAGAAGGAAAACGCTCCCGCTGAGCGTAAAGGTCTTGGTCGATCGAGCTCTGTACACCTTCTGAGGAAATCTCATCCGTCTGATCCGACGGCGCGAGAGTCATACTCCACACAAACCTCCCCGGTGTACCAGACACGACATTCGGTATATTATCCTTCCCCGGAGATTTCGGTCCCAACTCAGCCATCCGACCAATCTCACCACGAACAATATCAGAGAACTCCAGGCCAATTCGACTCACCGCAAAGCCAATCCACCCATCAAACGGTTGACTACACGGAAGACGCCCCTCACTTCAATCCAGAACAGGAGCAATATCAGGCCTACCACCAAACCGAGCCCGCTAATACCTCGGAGCAATATCTACCTTATCAAGGACCGTCTTCTCGACCAAGCAACGTAGAATCCGATCCGTATCAACACCTTCGACCACCTTCACAAGCCTCTCTGGGGCCTCCGTCTCCCATAGCCAACCCTCCTCACCCTCCAGCTCTTCAAGAATCTCGTCCCTCCACGGCTGCCACCAACAGGTATTCGGCTCAGTCGGCCACTCAGGGTCAACAGCCGCCGCACCTGGTCATGGCAAGAGGCGAGCCACCCAACGGAAGCCTTCGCCAACAGATTTCACAGCGAGAACCCCGGACCGAAGAACACAACCAGTATCCCAGCCAACAGGACCCGAGAGTCAGAATGTCGCAGCAAGCTTCTGAGCAAGGACGGAACACACCTCCCCCCAGAAGCCGAGAGGATATCAGCCAGCTGGATTATCATCAGCTCCTGCAACGTCATGAAGAATTGCAAGCCAAGTATTCTAAAGTCAAGCGGTACTATTTTGAAAGAGAGGCCCAAGTCACTCAGCTGCAGAACACCGTGGCCAACCAACGTCTGTCGATGTCCAAGACGTCCCTAGATGATGCTCAATACACGGCGAGGTTTGAGCGACTGAGTCAGGCCATCAACAACCTTTCTTTCAACATCCGGAAGAATTGGCGGGCGGTCCCACCATGGCTCCGCCATGTGTGCAATCAGGACGCTCATACGGTTGGCACGAAAGAGATGACGGCTGTCGGCCGAGCATGCATCACCCGTTGGTTGTTTGAGAGTATATTCGAACGCACATTCCACCCCGGCATTGATCCGGGACTCTCGGCACAATTGAAGAATGTTGAGAGAAATCTTCGACGGGGAGGACAAGCCGGCATGCTGTTGACCGATGAGCAGCGCGATGATCTGATCACCAAAATCACCACCTGGCGACTGACGACGATCGAGGGACTTCAAGACGTCCTCGCCTCGCACCAAGCTGAGCAATATACCGAGAACCTCAACAAAATGTTCACCCACCAACTCACCGAGTCCCTCAAAGCGAACCTGACAGACCCGCCGCCTCCTGGCCTGAGTGATGGGGTCGGTATGATTGTGGTACAAGCTATTGGCATTGCGTCCAATCTTCCCCTCGAGTCTCGCGACATCTGTATCGAGTATTTTATGCCGGGCACACCCGTAAACGAGACGTATATGAAAATTGAGCCACAAATGACCCCATTGACCAACCCGGGGCCGGACGAACGTTTACTCGCGATGCAGGCAGCTCAGGCCCAAGCGCAAGCACAACAGGCCATGCAAGAAGCTCCAGAAGGTGACGAAATGAGCACGGCCAGCACAGAGGATGGCCCACGCGACCGCGATGTGGAGGCGGAAATCCGCGAAGCTGCCGGGAAAGCCGCTTCACAAACGACACAACCATCTGGCGCGGGAGGGCAGCACGGCCGGTCCGAGGGACTGAGCAACCAGGGGTCGGTCAAGGGATCAAACGATAAGCAGTCGAAGAAGTCGAGCTTCTTGGGCGGTCTCGTCGGCAAGAAGCCTCCTCCAGCATCCCGTTCCGAAAACCGGGTTGGAGGAGAAGGCGGAGCGAATACGTCGCCGGGCAATAACGGCGACGACCAACGTGGCAACGTTAGGGAGAGTATGGCAGTGGATCCGTCGCAATTGATTCCTCCTCCTGGCGCCAATGAGGGTCGAATCCGGTTTGCGGCGTTCCTGGCTGTCGAAGTGAGAGGCAAGGGTCCTGGTGCGAATGCGGCGGCATCATCCGGGGGTGGCTCTGGGAAGGAACCCGGATCTGCCGCAGGAGGGGTACGGGAGAACTCTGTCAATGTGCTGTTCAAGGCGCCGGTTTATGAGTATTAATTAGACTGCTCGTTCAGCGAGGAGAGCCAATTGGTACAGAGACTATTTGGGTAGCACTAGATTTGCGTTGGAGAGCGTGATGGTGATGGATTCGAAATGCTGGACATTTAACTGATTGGGCCATGTTGATGGATGGATGACGGGGGACGACTAGGACCTTTTCTTTCATATTGTTTCACGGACGAAAAAAAGAAACAGAAGGGATAGGCATGAGATGTGAATTGAGAATCTCTCGACCAGGAATGGATAAGTAGGTTGATCTAAATCTGTCAAGGGAATAGATACTTTAATCTCAATGGTCCGTCGTATTTGATATAAGGATCTTGGGGGGTTCAATACCGTGTCGGCAAATGGCTCTACCAAAAGGGCCCCCCCCCCCGCAATTCAATTGCCGAAGTGAGCGGCTTCAATACCATCGCCTCGTCTCCTCCCTCCCCCTGCGCCCCGCCACTAACAAGGAATCGAGCAACAGTTTTTGCACTTTTTATCCCAATCTATCAATCGTGGGGCTGAAGGCGAAAATCCTTCTTCTCTCTGGACTGTCTGACCTTTTCTCCAATGCCTATTCGCTGCTCGACCGCTCAATGTGAGAAAGCTGCCAACACGAAAACCATTTCCATAAACCTCATTTCAACTTTCCTTCCGGGGTCAAGAATGGCAATTACTCCGCCTGTAAACACCCACTCTTCTTGACCACATGGCTTTCGAATCCTGATGCCTTTGTCCTCTGTCTGCTGTCCTACCCACGACCATTCATCGAGTCCCTATGCCCTCCAAAGTTGAAGATCCCTGCCAGGAATGTCGGGGTACGTCCAATCCACTACAGCCAGCTCATTACTGACTGAAGGCCCGAGGTACAGAACGCCATCTGAAATGTAAGCTCAACCCAAATGATATTCTTTCCTGTTTCTGGCTCTCCACCGGCACACCAGCTCACCAGCTCACTCAGCCTTACCTATGTTTGGACCCGATCCTCGACCAAAAGCTGACCTTTACAGGCGACGATAATCATCCCAAGTGCAAGCAGTGTGAGCGCCTGGGAGAAAAGTGTCGGAGGGGGAAGGGCAAGCTCAAGTTTCGTCATGGTTCCAGCGCCCGATATGATGCGACGTTCTCCAAAGACCAAACATGGCTTGAGCAAACTAAGAATGGTATGTGGAACCCGAGCGACGAGACCGAGTGACGAGATGGCTTGAAGAAGAAAAATGCATTGATCAGAGAGACACACGTCAGCGGCGTCGACGTTGGTCTCTTATATTTCTGCGACGTATCATTCTACCCTTTTTCATGGCTATCGATGCTGCGTACCCGTTCCACCCAACCTCCAGCGAAGTCCTGCAGTCTCACAGCCTCTCAACTCGCATACTGACAGCGCTTTCTGACAGCTAAATTCCAATTTGTCGACCAGGGGCCCGAATTAGAAAACTATTATTCCCAAGATGACCTTGCGGTGAACAATACCAAATTCCATGCTCAGGACCAGAAGCAGGAAGGTTTTACCGTTCCATACAGGCGAATCGAACCCTCTGCTGATGCAGATTTGTCCCCTCCTGTCCGCAGCGCACCGCCCCCGGAGCCTCCATCTTTCTTATCACCTTCGGGCACGAATCATGAGACCGTCCTTGTTCATTCTCCCATAAAGAGGAGGAAGACCGCTGATTCAATCCACCCAAGCTATCCTTCCAACACCGAACCATGGCCCCAAGGAGCATACGACCCCATTCGTTCTCAATATCGGGTCTATGATCCTCCCAAAGGTTTTACTTCTTTCAGTCCCGACGGATTTACGGCGATGCCAGAACAGCACTACGTCCCTAAAGTGGTGGAAGCGGAATATCGTCGCTTGGCGGATTCTGCCGCTGCCGCGATTCCCCCAGAGTCTCTCCTCTCACCCGCTATCTGGAAAGAAGAATTCTATTGGCCGAACAAGTTCACCACGACACAATGTGCTTGTCTGATGCGGTACTATATAGAACACCTGGCGCCCTGGGTCAGCAGTGTCCTCTATCCCGAGAGCTGAATGGGAGCTGACCGAGTAGTAGTTTGACGTGGGAGATCCAGCAAGGCATTTTACCCTGGTGGTCCCCCAACGCGCAAGAAGATGCCCTCCGCTATTGAACGCCATATTTACTGCCGCCGCCAGACATCTCGCCTCTCTTGCCCGGTATAGAACAACGGATGGAGTGATTAGTTACCAAAATGTCCTTCTGCCGAAGCTCACCGCGGACACCGCCGTCAAATACCACAACGCTTGCATTGCATACCTCATCAAGTTGTCTAGCGATCCCGAACACGTCAGAGACGAAAACTTATTGGCCGCTGCCGTGATATTGAGATACTACGAAGAGATCGACACGTCGCTGAAAGGTGAAGACAGTGAGACCTTTCTTCACACCTTTCAGATTTTCGTCAAGGCTCAAACGAACCCCTATTCGTCTCTTCTGGCAGATGGCAAAAGCCAAGAATACCAGAGACCCGAATCGATGCTCGGCGTGCTTGACAATGCACTGGCATACGGGAAGAGTTTCCAACACGCAGCATTTCGCATAGCTTTACGTCAAGAGACCACGATTGCGTTCTTGAAGCAAAGACCGGTGCGTCTCCCACTGGAAACCTGGTCCATGCTGCAAGGATTCGAGGACGCCGAAGATTTTATCTGGTCTGACCGACATCTCTACCACTGCGCCAACGTGTTGCAATACTGCTTTGGCGGGATACCAATGCTTCGCAAATCACAAATTGACAGGTGGACGGAACTCAAGAGTTTTGAAGCTCAGTGGGATGAATGCAAACCCTTGTCGTTTGCCCCAATCCACTATCAAGAGCCCGACCGTGCCAAAGGGGAGTGTCTACCTCATATCTGGTACATGGCAGACGTCCACGTGACAGGCTTGTTGTCCTTGGATCTCGCCAAAATTCTTTTGACCGTGTACAATCCGAATATTCCCCGGATTGGCCCAGGTGTCCACGCCATTCAAAGACGAGTTACTCGAGAAGTCCACGACATTGTGATTCGACTATGCGGGACTGCAATGTCGAATCCCTCTTCACAACCGGCTATGATCCAAGCTTATATGGCCATTGCCATCTGTGGAGAGGATTTTACCGACCCAGTTGAACAGCGAGCATTATTGGAAATCTTGGACCGGTTAGAAAATGACCTTGGCTGGCCGACGGGCAAGACGGCAACGGACCTGAAAAGGGGATGGGGTTGGACTTGATAACAGGTATGGGTAGGATCGACTAGATTTTCGGGGGGATATTTTCTGTTCGGTGTGCATAAACTTGGGGGATTTCACGACATGCCATAAAAGCACAACACGTAGGACATGGGAGTGACACAGGACACAGGACCTAGTTTAGGCCTGGTTAACATACTTGCCCAGGTAGGGTACATGGAAGGGGGAGAGGATACCTGAATACGAGGAGGTACTCTCCCATATTAAATCCTGACACTGGTACCTTTCCCCGTGCGGGGTTGTTTCGGAAAAGTACAAAATGGCGTCATCTCAGAGATTCCGTCATCCGACATGGGGCCTCTGCTCTCCATCTTGATGAATTACTAATTCTACAAGAACAGCAATGGAATCCCTTTGGCGCAATAATTTGATTTCTGCATCCATTCCTGTTATTTCTGCCTTATCTGACTCAATCCCCCTCCATTGATTTTATTACTTCTATTCCTCCTAATTCCAATTGTTGTATCAACTGAGTTTGTAACAAAATCGCTCCGGACTCTTCGAAGCCTTTCCCAACGACCGTACCGTCATCATCAAACATGGCCAACAGCCTCTACATCGCCGACACTCCTCCCGAGGTCTCCTCAGCCAAAGGCCTACATCTAATCACCCAAAACACGCCCAACGGCCAGGCCACGCAAATCATGCTCGAAGAACTCGCCGACACCTATGGCACCACCTGGACGACGACTCTCATCAACATCTCCACCAACGAGCAGAAGAAAGAATGGTTCCTCCGCCTCAACCCCAACGGCCGCATCCCGACACTCATCGACAATACGCAATCTCCTCCGTTCCCTGTTATTGAGACATCCGCCCAATTGCTATACTTGGCGAAATTTGTGGATAAGAACGATACATTCGGGTTCAAGAATGAGCTGGAACGCAATGAGGCGTTGCAGTGGATGTTCTTCTGGCATGGTGGTGGGGCCCCGTATCAGGGCCAGGTCAATCATTTCACGAGGGCCGCGCCGGAGAAGATTCCTTGTGAGTAGCCATAAACTCCAACGTCATTGGGCATGCACAGGGAAACACCTACTGATGGGATCCAGATGCTATAAACCGGTACAAAAATGAAACATTGCGTGTCTACGGCGTACTTGAGATCAGACTGTCAGGCCAATTCACGGGCGTCCCGCGCGATTATCTAGCGGGGGAAGGAAAAGGCAAATACAGCGTGGCGGACATCAAAACCTGGCCGTGGGTGAAAGGTTGGGAACGCAGCGGGTTCACGGCCGAAGAAATGAAGCCGTTCCCTCATTTGCTTAAGTGGATCGATCGGATCGCTGCTCGACCGGCCGTTCAGAGGGGTATTGGCGATAAATATGTCATGAAGTAAGTCTGTCTGTCTGCCATGCCATTGCGCCAGCCTTGTCCAATTGCGAAAGAAAACCTCGAAGAAGAGAACAGAGTGGTTGATGAAAGGTGAGACGAATCCAGGGGAAGGGAGTGAGTGGAGCGATGAAAGTGTATGGATGCTCTGGTCTAGAGTGCCTCGTGCTTGTTCCGAAGCGTCGAAAACAGCAGGATAAAAGATAAAAAACGAATTGTGTCGAGTTGAATTTCAAGTTCGATTTGAGGATCCCTTGAATTGTCAAAATTCTTCAGCCTTCTCCACCCGCACCCCCCTTTTTTAACTCCCTTTCAGAATCCCCCAGACAAAGATGGAGCGTCCACGTTATAAATCAATCGACTGACCCGTGCGAATGACTTCTCAGATCGAGAATATCTCCTTTCCCCCGCTCTTCGGTTAAAATGTAGTATATTCGGGCAGTGTCTATTCCAGCGAACGCAGTCTTTGATCTTCCATACATTTTCAGCATACCTTTCACATTCAAGAAGGGTGAAACCAAACCTTTCACTTGTATTGCCTGAATTTCACAAAATCGCAAATATAATTGCTAATCAAAGACATATGTCTCCCAAAGCCTAGTCCAACGAGCGCTCTCCTGCCCGCAGTCGGCGTACACCCAATAGAAGAAACCGATCTGTCTCTGAAGCATATCCGGGATCAGAGAATGAAGACCGGTCACTCGAGGAGCCTATTCTCCCACTACAAACTAGGTCCACGTACACCCTTTCTCTACACTCATTCCGCATGATTGTGGTACCAGCACACAGTTCTTCCAGTGCTTGATCATTGATGTTTTTGTCATCGCCCTCCTAAATCGGGATCTCGCTGGTAATTTTCCAAGAGGGCCACAATGGCCCAATGACATTCCTTCCGGGCGATTCGGATTGGCCCCTTGCAGACATCTGAGAATGACTCGCCGCCCTTGAGTTGATAGTTATCTAGCAGGAGTTTGACCATATCGAAACGCCCATTCCTAGCCGCACTATCAAGGGCTCGTGTCCCTCTGCACGACGCGGGTGCTGCAATATCCGCTCCGGCGGCTATGAGCATTTGGGCTATCCTGACATATCCGAGTACTGCAGCTACTTGGACGGCCGTGACGCCGCCATAATGTGAAGCAGCACCATTGACATCTGCGCCATGCTGGAGCAAGAAGTCGACCATCTCTAGGTCCCCTATGAATACGGCTGCTTGAAGGGCTGTTAGCCCATCACGTGCCGGCGGAGGGAAGTTGATGTCTGCCCCATTCTGTACAAGATATCGAACCAGCTCCATGACTCCTTTTCGACATGCTTTCTGCAGAATGGAATGGTCCTCTCCTACCCATCCTGCGTTGATGTCCGCTCCTCGATCAACAAGTGCTTGTACAAGGACCCCACATTGGGTGTCCGGGATGATGAGGTCGACGTATTCTAGAGCCTTTGTAAGTATAGATCGGTCAATGAAATCGCTGTGCTTCAGGAGGAAAAGCATTGCTTTTTCCTGATGATGCACCGCCGCTTCCAGCAGCGCCAACTCTCCAAGCGTCCTTCCTGATCTCGACAAAGCATTGATGTCAATTCCGAGATCAAGTAGGAGTTGAATAAATTCAAGGGAACCTTTCCTTGACGCGACCAGGAGCGGCATGTTGAAAGCATCACCGTCTTCCCAGTCGGCGTAGGCCACACTTGCACTTGCTTCGATCAAGCGCCAGAAGAGCGGAATGGAGTTTGAAAGAATGGCAGTGGATAAGGCGGAGTACCCTCCGTCAGAAGCTTGCCCATTTATGTCTGCCCCCAAAACCAGGAGAGTCTCAACCATATCTTCATTTTGGCAAAGTACTGCCGCTTGCAGGGCAGTCATTCCGCCTTTTTCAGCTACTCGGGCGTTAACATCTGCACCGAGCTCCAGTAAAAACAGTGTAGCCGCGGTCTTATTTTTTATAACCGCGTATTGCAAGGCAGTTTTACCTCTCCGACCAACAGCAGGACTGTTGATGTCTGCGCCCGCTTCGATCAATATGGACATGATCTGAACATTTCCATTGCCCGACGCAGCTTGCAAAGAGTTCAATTGCAACCCATTTTTGGGAGCATCATGCACATCTGCCCCGTATTCCAAGAGTAGCTTTACTTCTTCCAAATGACCTTTCCATGCAGCCAGAACTAGTGCCGGTGTTCCGCGACAGTTCCGTGGACCATCTCGATAATGTCGATATCGACACGATCCACGCATCGGATCCAGTCTGAGGACCACTCAGAGAAGCTCTATTGATCACACTCGGCATACTGTAGTTTATGAATTAGATCCGATGAAACACCACCGCCATCGGATCCAATCCGTGGACCATGTGGCCGAGTAGGGCTGGGGACAGTGTATGGCGCCGGCCTCGATATCTGGACGGTGCTTAGATCGGATCTCATGATATACCACCGCCATCGGATCCAATCCGTGTGCCATATGGCCTATAAACACTGTCGGGAGGTGTTAGTCTGTACAGTACATTTTGTTATTCTGTACACTCTTTTCGCAACATTGAATCGCCAAAATCTCAACAGCGAGTGCTCTGAGAATATTGTAACTCGTAATATAGCTGCTATGTAGCCTTTAAAATTGGATCAACCAAAAAACTTCGAGTTTTTCTATGTCGTTGTAAGGTAAAGTGAGAGGTGGGGGAAAGTTACGTTTCGTACGCTAAAGGGTACGACGTACAACTTTCAAAAGGGTGGATCACTACGCCAGAATGGCATTTATTTTACTACCGGGAAATGTCTCCGGGCATATCGGATCGTACTCGGCTCCTGCCTGTTATGGTTTAGTAGTGCCAAGGTACAAAGAAATTGTATGAGATTCCCACACAAAATTTTGTATCATTGACAACGACTTATACCTCGCTGTCGATCACCTCGCTGTCGCTTGTTTTGTATAGACATTCCTGGCGTTGATAACCCCGCTTAGTAAGCAAAAAGTCCTCTGTCATGCCGTCTAATTGGCGCGCGCCATCGGGGTGTCCCGAGCACTTGCGCCACCCTCTTGAGAGGCATTTCAACACCCTTCCTGCCGAGTATTTGCTTGCTCCTGTTAACAAACACGTGGACAACTCGCTCAACAAGGTATCGAGGAAGAGTCACCAAATTCTCAGTTATCAACAATCAGTGTGGCGCCGACGAGGTCAATCCCGTCTACGATGGCGAATCCCATACAAAATACAGTAAGAGGCCCATCTACTCGAGCACTAACAACCCCTTCACCTCAAACTACGCCTCCTCAGCGACCAACAACTCAAACTTTGCCGATTCGAGCACGTACTCCTACAACAAAAGAGCGGCCGAGCCGCGGATGCACACGCCATCACCTAAGTTATTTGAGTCTCCTCCTGAGCCGGTCGACGATCTCCCCGCTTTCCACAGCACCGCCAAAATTAGGTAGGGAGAAGAGAAAGAGGGTTCATATGTAGCACCCACGATGTACAACATGGAATGCTGTGACAAAGCTAGATGTCACGTGAAGGTAATCGCAACCCGGGGTTGCGATTAGCAATATCAGCATCTCGACCTACTATGCCGCGAATGGGAGGTCCCAGCCATCGTACGGTGGCAGGAAGACGTAGACGACAGAAGGGGGTGGGCAAATGGGCCAAGAGATAGAAGGATTGAAGGTATAAGAAGAGCCTTCGAACCCTTAGATAGACAGACAGGTTTCAGTACATTGCCATTCCATACCCTACCTTGTGTACTCGCGGCTATTTGTGATTCCTCTCCTTAGACCCTCGTGACAAGCCCTTACCTTTCGTTGGTATCGTTGTTACATCACACTACAAGATATCGAGAAGCGAGGGAGCAAAACTTGATTGCGGAGTCATAGGAAGCCCGCAAGGCCGGCAAGGCCTAAGAGTTTTGGGGGAGTGGACAAATTCGTGTGGAAACCCGTCAGGATTTATCAATACTAAGGATGTCTATACAAAAGAAGCGGCAGCGGGATCAGATATCTATGTACTGATGGCCCCACACAAATTCATGCCAAGTTTTCTACCCCACAGTTGAAAACGATGTCATACCAAGACGATATCGAAAACGATGCCCGGAGACATTCCCCTGTCATAAAGGGATGGCGCCGGAGACTTTGATTAGGATCGACGAATCGTCCCGAGCCTAGTCGAAAATGGAGTCGATTGTTGCTACTATACAGTTGTTCCCGAAACCGCCCTCCCTTTTGCAGACACATTGCAACTTTCTCCAAAACGAGCGAAGGGTATAAGTGGGTCACGCCTTCCCACATTAGTATGACAAAACAAGGGGTCGTGGATGCCTCACTGCGTTCGATATTTCACGTGATTGAACCATTGGACTTGGCAATTCTTGGTGGCGCACAAGTGCCCCACAACATGATTGGCCATCCCGCAATCCGGAAAATATATAATCCGACAATTACATAGTCCTCTGCTCTGATTGGCTGACCCCATCGGATCCAGTCCATGGCACACTCAGGAATGGGTAGAATGCCGACTTTGTCTGCCAGACCCCCGATCGGATCCAGTCCATGGGTCATATGTAGACGATGTTGATCACCATGTCCCATGCCGTACGATATCCCCCATCGGATCCAGTCCGTGGACCATATTGTCAAACTTCTCGTACAACTTAAGTTGAAGGAGTGCTCTGGCTCTTCCAATGAGTGCAGGATAGAGCCCATCTATATATCTATCTAACGAGTGTACGTCACCATTGCTGCCTGTTAACGGCGATACAGCCTATTGAGCGAGTGTTGCAAAACATCCTAGTCTGTCATAAATGATTGGCTAGCATTTTGTTCAATACTGCTGTTCAACTCAATCGTTCTCTGCATCTACTAGCATCGCAGAGACAGCGTCGGTAATAGTATCTCAATCCATTCCGTCCACTCGCTGAAGAATTTTGTTCGGGAATCGAGATCCGCTAGTTGATAACGCTGGGACTCCCTTTCCATCTCTAGCTTGATAACGTCGCCACTGCGTTCTGGCGTTGAGATATTCGAGGTGGCGAGTGGCGATGTAGCCGATCGTCTAGGTATCATAACCCATCGAGAACTCAAGGGCTTAGCCACTGTTTTAGGATATAATCCCGTCGCCTTCCACCCAGACCGAACGTTTTCCTCCCGGAAACCGATTTCTCTAGCTTTCGCATAAAATTCGAGAAAGTTAGCCTTTCCAATCTTCGTAGTATCTGTTAGAGCTGTATGCTCGCCAAGAATCCTTCGATAGGCCGTCTTAACCGGTACCGCATTGGGGTTCTCTTGCGAGGAGCCAATGACAAGCCCGTTAATTCCCTGGCCCCCCATGATGCCGCCCTCGTCGGCGTTGTACCTTCGTCGAGGGGGAATCCAGCTCACGGTCTCGTACAAGTTGAACAAGTGCCTAATATTGTCCGGAGTGGCCGCATTTATACGTTCCCAGTCAATCCGGCAGCCTAACTTTCTCTTGATAGCCGGGTGGCGCCTCACGAAGTGACTTGACCACTTCCTCCCTAGGGACTTGTGGTCACCTTTCCGCTGAAGTACGTCGCTAGCGACTGCTCGTACTTGCGCGTGCGTTGGCGCGTAACCGAGAGCCTCCTGCTGGAGAATTCAGAGCTCGAGATGGCTTTCTTGAACGGCCGTAAGCCGTGCTCGTCGTCGTGAGCATACCGGTGAGGTTGGTCACCATTAAGGCGGCCACGTAGAGTGTTACGTGGGACCCCATGTCGAGTGGTAGCGGTGGCCAAGGTGACCCCATTTTTGAGGTCTGCGAGTGCGTCCTGAACGTCGCTTTCGGTATAGGCATCCATTCAAAGGCAACGAAAAAGATGCAAAAGGAAGTATTTCAATCGAGGAAGAATTAAATTTTTGAGAATTGATATTCGGTTGTGATGCGCGTGGCCGGGGAGCGCGTTTGTGGGGGTGTCGGAAAGGAGAGTGCCCGATTTAACGAACGAGCCTCGATGTCGACATGGTCCACGGATTGGATCCGATGAGTCGTGGTATTTCATCGGATCCAGTCCGCGGACCACCTCAAACAAGCCCTTACTGATCACACTCGAGATGGTTCGTGGCGGAGCGTTAACGAACTGTCGACACGATCCATGAATCCGACCCCATGATATACCACCGCCATCGGATCCAATCGGTGGACCATGTGGCCAGGTAGGCCCGGGGACAGTGTATGGCGCTGACCTCGATGTCTAGATGGTCCTTGTGTCAGATCCCATGATATACTGTCGAACAGTATATGGCAACATGTTCAGCTGTGATACTGGAATACTCAGCTGGACAAGGATCTCACCTATGAGCCGAACGCGGAGACGCCCAAGGACTGTGCCAATCATTCCTAATATATATGTGCGAGGTAAGACTTCAGTTTGATAGAAATCAGAGCATTTTAACAACAATCAATGTACGACCAGTGATTGTTTGACATCTTCAATCCCCTAGAATAATCCACGGCTACTCGCAAAGATATTGGCGGGATGGCGATGTCTAGACGGGAATCTTCTCTTTAGGGCGTACGTTAAAGACCGTCTCTAATGCCTCCAGCGTTTATAAAAGAACTCTTGATACGCGTATGAGGCTCGGAATCTCCCCAGAGCAACCCTCGTCGGATCCGTATGCCGTGGCGGCCTCTCCCCCACCCCCCCGATTACCGGGGAGGAGTCCTACTCCGGCGTCGACCTGTGCCGGAACGAGGACTTGCCTCTGTAGGAGCAACGTACCACGAACGTAGAAAGATTAGTAGAGGACTTCCTGGACGACAACCTTTAGGTGAATTGTCGAGTACGATACTATTGAGGGGTCGATTTTGCGAAGTGGGAGATTGATGTTGCTGGGGACGAGAGGTCAAGGAAGTTATGGACAAGCATCACATGACGAGGGTAGGAGTGGGGTGTCAGAAATAAGCCTTGTCAGGTATTAGCTTGACGGTTGGCCGCATCTCCGACTACATTTTGATCACCTTGAAATTCGCGCTTGAAAATGATGATTTCCTTCACCTGTGATGAGATTGGTCCCGTCAGAATATAACATTCTCTCAGCGATAACTGCGACATCGGGGTATCTCTACATTGATCGGTCAAGATGGAGCCTTCTAAACCCCAGGAAAACAAGGTAGATTCGTGGTATGGAGTGCTGGACCCGCGAAAAAGAAAACAGATTCAGGATCGACTAGCTCAAAGAGCAAGACGTGTGTCTCTCGTCTGAACATGCGGCCCATCCTGGTCTACGTGGCTGACGGTTCTTCCAGGGAAGCGACTTTCAGAAGCTGGCAAGTTCTCTGGACAGTCTCGACGCGGGTCGGGCGAGAAATTCTCGACTCTCCCGAACAATGCCATCATGGGGGGAAATGTCATCGCTGATCCTTCTGGTATGATCGTGGCAAATGCCAACACGCCGTTCCCCGTCGCCTGCTCGTCATCTGGCTCGAGTTCTGAGACGAACGCTTCTGGGACCCTTGTGCTGTCGTCCGCGCCGTCATTGAATCCACCCCCCCCATGTGACCATCGATACCTGCCTGATCTAAAAATGACTGCCATTGAGGCTCTGTGGGTTAACGGCTCCATTTTGGGCATACCCTGCAGCGATGCCGGCTTCGACAAATCCTCTCCTCAGCCTTCTACAATACCGCATACTCTCTGTCCAACCCCGCTCCAACTCGCGGTACCTCACTACATCTGGATTGATCGATGGCCCTTCCCAAGGATGCGAGACAATATGATTATTCTGAGTAGTGTGATTGATGCCAAAGAACTCTTTTACGACTTCTTCACAATGCAATCATTCATTGTCAAAAAGGAGGAGGATCCCTGGAATCCTGAAGCGTGGGAGATCAGCCATGAATTCAATACGAAATGGGGATACCTGTTTTATTGATTCCTGTCAGCCTCGATGAAAGATTTGTCGCAACTGATCGATACAGCCATCGACCGCTCGGACTGTCCCAGATCGTAAAAGACGGTTCGGACCAGAAAGCAGAGCACGTGCGCCACCTCGCACTCACCCTTGGTTTGGGGATTCCATCAGCGACTGCGAGATTGCTGAGGAGGAATGTGCATTGAAAATAGGCACGAACCTGAGGGCCGTTCGGACTTGAACAAGGGTAGTCACTGTTCACAAAAATGTAGATTTATTTGAATGCTAGTGGAAGCAGCCATCTACTATTTACGCACCTGTGTAACACACCGGGCTTCTTTGGGTGAAGCTTATTAAACAACGTTTATTCAATTTCAGGTTGCCATCGAGTTTGCCGGGCCCTAGTGTGGGGCAGCCTGACGATGGGGACGTGGAACTCTCCCAACTCCATCTGAACCTTTTTGGTGTGACCAATCTTCCTCTTAACACAACGACCTTGTCTATTCCCCTCCAGATACTTCTCACGACTGCTAGTCATTATGGACTTCAAGTCTCTCATGTCCGCGCAAATCGCCAAATCCAAACCTCAGCCCTCCAAGTCTGCAGCACCATCAAGGTCACCCAACTCCAACTCTGCATCAACGAATAAATACCTCCGCCGCGCCGACCTCGAAGCCGCCCGCGAAGCTGCCTACGCCGCAGAACGAGCCAAGCTCGAAGCCGAGCGAGAAGAACGCGCAGCAAAGAAGCGGAAGTTGGCGGAAGAAGAGGCCGAGCGGAACGCCATACGGGAGGAGAAGAAGCGACGACTGGCCGAGGAATCCAGGCGACGGCGTGAAGAGGAAGAGCGAGAAGAAGAACGCAAGCGGCGTAAGAGATTAGGCTTGCCGGAATTACCACCTGAAACCAAAGCCCTTGAAGGTGGTGAGGCCACATCTACTTCCACTACACGGCCAGAGACAAAAGACATTCCGGACGAAGAGCTGCGGAGGAAACTGCGGGCACTGGAGGAACCGGCCTCGCTATTCGACGAAGACCACGCCGCACGATTACAACGCTACTATACACTCACCGACAATGCACTCACTTCGAAACCGAAACTCGGTGACGGACCGATCCCGACGACCCTCGAGCCCGTGCCGGAGAAGGACATGCTCCTCCCCGCCACGATGCCAGCGAAAGACACACCGGAATACTCTTTCCTGTACCGCCAGCTAGCGTCGTATTTCACCCTACTCCTACGGGAATGGTCTATTGCACTTTCACAGCGCGATCATGACGTCAAAGCCTCCTCGTCCGGCAAAGCAGCATATAATTCCTACCTCGTCGTGCTGAAGGACCTGACACCACTTTTCCGACATCTGGAGCGGGGCGACCTGGATACGGACCTGTTGGAGCCCATCTGCCAGATCGTGCGAGCTGCGCAGCGACGCCGCTACGTCGAGGCCAACGACGGGTACCTGACGCTGTCAATTGGGAAAGCAGCGTGGCCCATCGGTGTCACCATGGTCGGTATCCACGAGCGCTCGGCGCGCGAGAAACTGCATGAGACCAGTTCGGGGAAGCAGGCGCATATCATGTCCGATGAGGTGACGCGAAAGTACCTGCAGAGCATCAAGCGGTGTTTGAGCTTTGCGCAGACGAGGTGGCCGCCAGAGGATCTGGGTCAGTTGATGGGATGAGCCTGGTAGTGGGAGGGAAATGTTAGATCGGGGTGGACCCCGCGAATTATAGGATAGATGTTCATAACTGCTCCATGCTTGTCATTCTTCCCTATTCTCCAAGCGACACTTTGTCTCATCAGTTTACCATTGGCGGCAAAGGTCAGTGGCAGAAAGCAGGAGTGAAACCACGAATGAGGATGAACAGAAAGCCATGGAAGGGGGAGAGTACTTCCCAAACAAAGATTGTTTATAAATCCCTATTGAACACTCACACATCCACCAAAATTACCCACGTCTGTCTCATCCGGTCGAAACCATTCAGAATTCATGGAATTTGCTCACTTTAGCATAGCATCGTCAATTGACGCAAAAGATCCGTCGGTCTAGAATATCTAATTTCGATTCCTCATGAAAATCCCACGCGAATTTTTCCATGCCTTGGCCAAATCCGGGGGTGTATCTAGTTAACACAATCATTACAGAAATCAGCTAGCCTACAACGTCATGCCAGCTCTTCCTTCCCAGGAACAACTCGCTCAATAACGTTCATTCAGAGGGACAATTCATTCGTGGAAGAGAAAAACTGAGATATCCGCCCTGTCAACGTCCGGTTTGTGTGGTAGAAAATATCCTCCTCGTGTGTCAAATTTTGCTCGGGGTCTCGACTCGTGCCTCGGTCACCTCGTCACCTCATGTCGTGTGCATATCACCCACTCATCCTCCTCGGTCATCGAGACTCTGATCTCGGCTAAATTGGGCCTCTCTTGGCAGGTGACTGATCTTACTGCTCTCCAGCTCCCGTCTTTCCGAGTCGAGACTGGCAGTCGACGATCGAGGGGCCGTTTTTGATCATATGACGCTGAAGGCAGACAGAGAAGGCGGTTTGTTTGTTCGTCGCAGTAAGAAGTCAGTCATCAACTCTTCGAGTGAAGTATTCTGGAAGGATGAGTCAAGTTACACCCGCAGCTAGCCGACGCGACTGTCACATTGGTTGAATCGTTTTGCTGACTCACTTGAGGGCGTCAGCCCCGTATCTTGGCAGAGTGCTCAGCCGAGTCGAGACGGAGAAATGGCCCCGCCGGTGTTGCCACACGTGACTTTCACATGTGGAGTGCCCGAAGTTCCCGTTCAGAAAGTGCTCCAAGCCCATTCTTTGGGAACGCTGTTCGCAACCTGTTCCACGGCTTTGCCTCCACGAATCCCGCCTGAGATCATCCTGCGATGACCTGTTGGTCCTGCCAACGGAGTTGGAGGCCCGCTTTCATTGCTGTCGTCTCTGCTATTCTGGCTGTTCTTGCGACGAATGGATCTGGCGGTGTCCCAACGTTGATATTGACGATGGCAGGTTTCGCAAGCCTTGGAAGGAACACCATCGGGATGGAACCGGGCATATTGGTCCAAGGGAATGGTGAATGTCGTGTGCATCGAGCAAAAGATATGTCCACAATGACGACAATGATGCTTGCGAACAAAGAGATTGAATGTCGAGCGACATTGGGGCGAGTCACAAGTCGGTGAAGCTTCATCCGGCTAAAGCGGAACATAGGTTAGCTTTCATCTGGCACATGTCTCCGGCACGACCGTGGAAGTGACAACGACGCAGGTAGTGGAGCCAAGAATGGGGGTTGTAGAGATTTTGAATTGGATCGACTTCTGCATGAAGAAACCGTAGACATACCTTCCAATGATCCTTTGTTGGAGGACCAGTGACTTCCCCTAAGTCTTCCTCTTGGATCCATTCCGGATCAAATGCTCCGAGGTCCAAATGCTGCCGAGCGTCTGGACGCGCTGTTTGACCTTCACTATCTTGCAAACTGTCCAACGATCCATGTAAACTCTTGGGAGGGGTCGTAGGAGAGGGGTGGCAAAAGTGTTCGGTAGGTCGTAGAACGGCAGGGACGTAAAGCGGAGACTTCAATGGGCGGAGCTGCTTGTAGGGGTTCGGAGCATGTTGTTGCAGGTAATCTTGCATTCGGGGTGAGATGGGTGAAGTCGAACTAGCTGGAGAGGGTTGTTGATTGGGAAAGGTCTGGCTGTCGGGAATCGTATAAGTTTGTGTCGAATAGTTGGTTGCCATTTGAGATGACCCGAAGCGGAGATTTTGGTATCGAAAATGCTGAATCACGGAGGATTCAAACCACCGAGACTCAGCTACCAGTCAATGTATTGAGAAGAAACGGATTTGCGTCGCCAGACTTAACACGGCGCGGGGGGTTGGGACGTGGGAGAATTGCAGCCAGAGAGAGCTCGAGGGAGAAGTTAGATTTCGGATCACCAAAGCACCGCCACGGCCACGTTTTTGGTGTCGACAATGATCTCAGAGGCGCAGGAGGAGGGCTTTGATAGGACTTGCAATGCCGGAAAATAAAAAGGAAACCAAATTGGCTGGACTTGAGGTGTCAAAGGCGTGGGAGGTGGGGGGGTTGTCCGAGTTGACAGTACGAGGGGGGAGCTTCTGGTGATAAAAGAAGGACAGAGGGTGTCAAAGTCCAAGAGGAGGAATTGGCGCAGATCGACTCGGGTTGCCGTCTATGAAGGAACTATACACACCAGAGATAAATGTTATTTTTGAGTCGGAGGAAGTTGGAAGGCGATGAATTATGAACGGGAGGACTCCAAGAGGGAGTTAGCGAAGGGAATGGACATGCGACACTGAAGAACCGGCGGCGAGTGGGTTTGGAGGGAGCAATTATTAGCATGGTTTAGCATGGTGCCTAAAATCCGCATCGTTGCTGATAAGGACCCGGGCCGGCCAATCACAGCAGCATGATATCGAAGACATTTCACTGGATCGGGCATAGCGCCAATCTACCTTTTGGTGGATCTGTGTCTAAACAAGTCGACAGACAAAAACAGTAGTACATATCCCTTCCTCACTAATAATCATGTCTGACTGGTAAAGGATAGAGTCTGACAGGGTGAATCGGTCTTGCGCCCACCAAAATCGCGTCGGTTATCAGCGCTTCGAGGGTCCAGTTCAAAGTTTCTTCGCTGCGCCTTTGCCCATTATTCACACATTGGCAACCCCCCCAAACGAAAAGGGCTCAAGGTTCGGAATGGCCAAGAAGCGACGGCCGCAAGTGCCAAGGTGGATAAGACGTCCTCCCTTTTCTGGCTGGTGCCACTGTGCCGGTAAGGAGGGGGTTCAAAGATGTAGCCCATCGTACATGGATTTCCCTGGTTCGCTTTCCTGTTTCCTGCATCGCCGACTGGTTGACCGATAGCGGTGTGGCGGTCAGCCAGACATGTGGGTGAAGGCAGCATCTGCAGAGGACGAACCGGAACGGTGAGTTCCTCCTCAGAATGAGATTGACAATGGGTACGGCAAGGAGTGCCTAGAGAGGCAAGTCTTAGTGATGGAATACCTAGCAGAGACAGCAGGCCAGGGGCTCGAAGGGTAATATTTCTCCAGAGATGATGTGCAGGATGCATTGAACCGAGAGCACGGAAAAACTGAGTCGAACCTCCCCAGAATTTCCATTGGCAGCGCAAGTGGGTTGTCCACAGGCGCGATGACACCTGCAAGCCGCAACAAAAGAGGGCTGCTGCAACAATTGTCCCGTTGCAGGTGCCCGCAACCCGGATCCTTAGCCAATGATTAGGCGTCCTTCCCCGGGACTTTTGGGGTTGGCATCCCACTGGTGAGACCTTCATTAGTGCAAAAGAACCCCTCAATGCTTCCAATCTCTCGAAACTCGGGACACCACTAAACACTGCTATTCTCCATTCGCACTGCTTGACTCGTTCGTTCGGCCCGTGATCATATTTTACGATTTCGCTTGGAACAAAAGGTTAAACAGCGTTCCCATCCTCCGGCCTTGGGGGGAACTCGGTTCCTCCCGCCCCTCTTCGGCTCTCTGAACTTTCTTCCAAACTTTCTCCTTTCTTTCCAGCATCCTACAGTCCGGTACATAAAGAAACGAGGTCGCCAGTCGCCTTCCATCCTCGACTGTCAGTCCTCAATCATCGAATGTTTCATCGCTGAAGCTACCTCGTCCGCCCACCCCACTGGTCGAGTCCTCGGCGGTTTGTCACTTGGATGAATCTGCTTCGCCTGTGGTCCTTTCCATCACCACCACAGCCATGACCAAACGGCCAGCAGATACCCAATCCATCTCTGAACTTCCATTGTCAGACCCCAACCACCCGTGGACGGCACGAGGTTATCGAGCAGAATTGGCCAACATACCCAAGTCTCCCACGGAAGACCCTTGTGGTGAAATTGCCTACCAACGAGCCTTCCTCGAGGTTGCCCGGCTCCAACCTCTTCGTGTTCCTGATCCCAGTCGCTATCCCCATTCTCATTCTGCACAGGAATACCTCCGACGAAGGGACGAAGCGATTTTCACAGTTCGAGTCAGACCTGATAAGGATGAACAGCCACCACGGCCTCCGACACCCCCAATCACATCTAGTCCAAATGAAAAACTCCCGTCACCTCGATACTCTCATGACCCTGTTTTTCCTCCTCGCAAAGCAAATGCAGATGCTAGAATGGACGCGGTTCCAACGATTCCTCCACCCAACAAAAACCAGCTCCGTTCACCTAGGCCACTTCTCCCAGCTGACCCGCATTCTCGACCTCCAAGTGCCCCTGGCCCTCCTCCCGGCGTTCCTTTTGGTCGTCCTACAGGTGCACCTCCTGGTTACGTTCGTCCAGAGCCTCCTACCCCACCCGCTCGTACTCCCACCCCTCCTCCTCCCCCCTTGGTATTGGAACCTAGAATCAAAGCTCCTAATGGTCCTGGCCGAATTTTATACTGATGACCGAAAATCACCATTCATTCTACCACTGCCATCATGATGATGCATGGCCAACTTTCACTCGAGTCATGGACGCCAGCTCCCTTTAATGTTTGACTCACAATTCTTCAGCCATGCTATAATGCAAACGGTAATACCTCATGATATGAAAATTCACGCCGCATGACCGCTGTCAAGGCATATCTTGCCAAGCAAGAAAGTAAGCAACTCTTTTTGGAAATAAGTTGATCTTCGGAATGACATCTATTGTTTGGATTTGAACGCAGAGGGGAATGAAACGGAGAAACGAATCTCGGACGGTTGCAATTCCTAGATTGTTAACGAACCGAGGGGAAATAATTTTCTCTGGAATTGCAACGAACGATGGTCTTCTTGGCCACACACAAAATGGCAATGGAGCAATGATCAGGGAGAAACTAAATCACTAAGTGTCTGGGAGTTAAGGCGGGGAACAAGGACAGCCAACGGGCAAAGAGAAAAGCTGGAAAATGATCACAGGAGTTTTTTGAGGTTTGATCGATTTCATGCCCTGAAGTGGCCGGTATGTGTGATGGGCAGGGGCTCTTTCTGCATGTTTGGCTCGCTCTTGGGTTTGATTGCCATCTCTCCAGCCAGCTTATTACCTATCTAGTCGAGTGACATTTGGACTCAGCTATGACTATGGAGTGTTCGCTTCCGACACAACGTGAACCTAACGGTCTCAGCTCGTGACCGGATCGACATGATCTAGAGTCCCCGAGACTGAGATGGCTCGCTTCTAGGTTTGCTTGAGGATTCCTTCATCTCCATCGTCTCATCGTCGAACTAGAGCCGAGGAACTACTCCCGGTCTCTGAGTCAACAGATCCAGCATGGGTGAGAATAATGGCCGAATCTCACCTTCTCCTCCTTCAGCATCATTGGTGAAGGCTTTTGAGTTCCTATCGTTCTCGAACTGCAACTGCGGTCTCGCCCACCTCACCAGATCCTCCCAACTCACCCACTCCCATCCTGCGCACTTATTCGGCTCCAAGAGCTTCGCTTCTGGCATGTTGGGAGACCCGTTACCGTCGTATTGCTGCTGTCCCTTTTCCATCACAGTCCATGTCCCTGCCTTTACACGCGCGGTCATGAAGATCGTAATATAATGCTTCCCCCTTACCGTTCCCGACGGAGCTTGACCTTGGCCTTGTGGTGTTGCAGATTTGTTTGTGCTCGTGGTGGGTTCAAGGGGCATCAGATCATTCGTAGCCGTAAGGAAGCTTATACTCTCATCATCGAGGATCAGCCCCGTCTCTTCCAATGTCTCTCGCGCTGCGCATTCGGAGAAATTCTCGCCAAATTCCAGGTGGCCACCGGGCAAGGCCCAGGTTTCTGCACCGTGGGAACCGAGGCGTTTTCCGAGAAGGAATTTGTAGGGTCGTGCATGCTGGGAATACAGGTGGGAGGGAGATGGTGCCGGCGTTGAGGTTGGATGGAGAATGAAGACGGCGATGCCCACGCGGGGGACGGAGGAGGCGAGCAGAGGCCGAGGTTGAGGTGGTGTCGATGTTGATGACATGATAGCGGTGCAAAAAGGGTGTATCGATGCTGGACGACAATCCGAAGCCGAAGGGTTTACTGGTCTCAGGTCTTGAGGGCCTAGATTGTGTTTAGAATTCGTGTTCGCAGTCGTTCGTCTGGATGTTAGATATGGGGTGATCGTGTCGGTTACGTGTCGTTGATTATCAAAGTATGTGATGTCAGTCGAAAAGATGAAATATAAAAAGAGAGACTCTTTCCGAGCGGGTCGAATTCACGTTTGTGATATTAACCCTTTTCCCCTTTTCACCACAATCTGCGGCTGTTGATTGTGATCAGTTGCTTCCCTCTCTTTTTGCCTGCCGCCTTCACTGGCTGGCTGGTTGTGACTTGTGGCGGTGACTCACACGGAGGCTCGAATCGAAGTGGATTTCACTCTTCTGCTCCACTTAGATCTGTACTGCTGTGCTCTTCACCGTCCCTATTTGATCTTGTGGTTCCGTTTACTGGAGCAGGGTGGGATGAGGCTGGCTGTTATCCCCGCTTGTACCCTGTTCAACACCGGTGACGGCGTTGGAGCACGGATATGGAAATGGTCACCTCGCAACACGCAGCAGTGGTTTGCGGCGCAAAAGTCTTTGATCAATCGGCTATCCCAAACGAGTGAAACAGTCAAGTCAAGTGCTTGAATGCCTGACTGATCTTGTTTGCCTTAAGGGGTGTTTTGATCGTGAGTGATATCTCTCGAGTGGGGATTGGAACTAACTCGCTGTGCTGGACAGCCTTGAACTGAGGCTATGAAGCACGGTTCAAGTCACGAACAGCTGAAGAGAGGAATTAGAAGATCGTGATGCGCCACTTTATCCATCCCATGACGGAATGAGGACGACGATGAGAGTTTTTCCACTTTTATGGACATTCTCTTGGCTTCTCTGCATTCAAACGTCACCCGGGAAGGGCAGACAGCCAGGCAAACATGCGCAATGGAGACAGACGGGTAAGAATCGACTTGAATTGGGGTATGGAAGAAAAAAAAAAAATCAAAGAGAAAGTTTGTTTGCTACGTTTGTGATCCCATCAGTTGTTGCAAGCCACAGCAGTTTCAGCCTTGTGAGGCTGTGCGCGTAACCTTGGCTGCTGCCAATCGGGGGCGCAGGAAATGGTTCGATACTGCTGATGAACATGAACCTCAGTCCTCGTTGCAAAGGTTTTCTCCTTCTTGATTACTTGTCGAGATATTGATTTAGATCTACCATCTCAATCTTGATATTATTTCGTCGTGCCTGTCGGGTGACAAGCACTCATGACACTTGACGAGCATCCATCTTCGAGGTCATCATCACACCACTCAAATATCCTCCACATTCTCATGGCTGATGAAATACCGCCCTGTGTCCGTGGCATTGGTGATATTAGTTTGCTTCAATGGTCCAAATTTGACATACCCATTCTCCACGGGCGCAGCGACCACAGTACCGCTGTACCGATGAAGTCTATTCTCACCACTCATGACGGTGAAGTTGGCCAACGAGATCTCATTGGGGTTGCGGTTGATGATGGTGGGCATGCCAAAGTAGCGCGCATCCACCCTCTGCGGTGTAATGTGGAGCTCAAAATAGCCACGATAGTACAACTCGGACCACTGCAACTCGCGATTGGCACCGACAAGCCATTGACTGCCTTGGACACTGGTGGCGATGGAGATATTTTGTCCAGCAGGCGAGGGCGATGATACCGCCGCGCCAGCAAACTCAACACCAATTGAACCCTCGCCGGTGGCAGGGTCATATGCGTGATGGTCTAGCCAAACGAGATCCGACACCCAGTTGGCATGGCTATCGCCTGAGATCATGATGTTGTTGGTGATGTTGTTGTCGTACAGCGTTTGATATGTGCGGTTGCGGTTGGCTTGATAACCATCCCAAGCGTCGTAATCGAGAGGGTTAACGTTGCCGTAGGAGACGGAGGCGTTGATACGGCTGAAAACGGTCTGTGAGCCGATGATACGCCATGCCGCCCCACGGTTCTTTGAATCAATCAAGGACTTGTAAAACCAGTTCTCTTGACGGGATCCCATCATGCTCCGGCCCGCATCGTTGGAGATTTGATGGATGTAGTCGGTGTTCCAGTAGAGATCGGTGATGGAGCGGTCGTACTGACGAGTATCGAGCATGATGAGGTCGAAGAGGCTGCCGATGGAGAAAGACCGCCAGATTCGGAGCTAGATCACGTTAGAAAATCGAATATACGGACGGCAAAAGGTGGATGGCAAGCTGACATCATCGCCCATTTCGACCTGACGAATGGGCAGCCACTCAAAGTATGCGCGAACAGCATTCATCTTACGTTGATCTACCGAGACGCCACCGTCTTCAACGAAGGAAGCTTCGGTGTTGTTGAGTTCTGAAGATCCATCGCGATAAGTGTTGTCCGCGACCTCTGTCCACCGAGTGAGTCAATCGTGTCAGCCCGATTGAAGTCGGTCTTACCATGGTCATCCCAGACAGGAATCCAGGGGTGGTTTGCATGGTTGGCAATCAAATCAAGATCAGTTCTGTAGGTGGCATGCCGCTTGCGGTAGTCGTAGAGAGTGTAGATTCGTCTATCCGGCAAGGGAATACGACCGATGGATTGACCCCAACCATATTCACCATTGGCATACTCGTAGATGTAGTCACCCAGGTGAACCACATAGTCGACCGAGCCCTTGCGGACGGGGTTTCCATACGCATTGAAGAAGCCGAAGGGGAAATTGCTACAAGAGTAGACTGCCAGGTGGACCCCCGCAACATCGTCATCTGGCGATGGGGTTGTCTTGGTTCTGCCGACCATGCTGGACTGATTGGAATTGCAAACCGTGAATTGGTAATAGTATTGTGTGAAAGGTTGAAGCTTGGTAGCTTCCACTTTGACCGTGTAGTCAACATCGGAACTGGTATAAACTGTTCCCGAATCCACCACAGAAGAGAGAGCCTTGTCAGAAGCTATCTTCCAATTCAAACAAACTGGAGCGTTGGACGGCGGCTTGCCCGCATCGGTATCATCATGAATCGGGACTGGGTTGTACGGGGGCGCGAAGCCTGAGACCGTGCTATTGTCTTTGACGTCGTCGAAGGAAGGAGAGCATCTCGTCCAAAGAATCACGCTGTTCGGATACGGATCGCCAGAGGCCACTCCATGAGTGAAATTAAGCTGTCCAGGAGCAAAGGCCGATCTAGGATCATGACGTTTGACAACTTTGCGGACGGAGATACCTAGGCCAGGATGGTTGAGGGAAGGAGAACGATAATTGACATTCGCGCCATAGGAAGCGATGGTGACAGCTATCAACGACGAGAAAACCAGTAGCTGCAACATTTTGGCAGAGCCGTCTCGAATGAGAAGACAAATCAACTCACCCTCTTTTGGTGGAGGGGGATGGGGGTGGGTGTGAGTTTCTCTCACCTGAGAGGAATGACCATCTCTGCGGGATTTTATAACTGGGAGCTCAAAGCTCTCCAAGTTGAGTTCCAACAGCTCCCGCTCTTGATCCTAGCAAGCGACCTGCAGAGGAGAGAATCGAAGCTCATGAACAGGCTCAAGGTATGGATGGACTGAGAGCTTGAGCCAATTGCCAGCAAGGCACTGGGTATGCAATGGCCTGGTTCCATGCAGTGTGGACACGGGATCCGAGTCAAAACTGCCATTCCGATTATAGTCAGGTCGTAGAAAGCTTCATGTGGGAAGCCTGGGACGGGGAAGTAAAGGAAACTAGAGGCAATCAAAGCATCTGGGGCCTGTCTGTCCTCGGCAGCCAGAGCTTTGATGCACGTGGATTGGAACTCTGTCCAATGACGGTCGAAGGATTGTCAATGCATCGCATTATTGGAAGCTTTGATTTTGATGGACACGGGCGGGCCGTCAACAGTTAGTATAGAATTGTTCCATCATTCTTCGATGGTTTTCTTCTCACGGAAAAAATCAAAAGTTCGCTCTAGGAAGATGCCATCAAATTTATTTTTTGTTTTCTTTTTTCCTGGGAAAAGGGGGGTTGTGGGTCCATGAACTATTTAGCCCCGGACTCCTACATACCACAACGATACCCCCAGCCGGCCTCCCAGGTATACAAGTCGGTGAGACCCAAGAGCGGCATAAAAAATCCCCTCGCCAACCTCACAACTTGTACGATGCTTCTGGCAAGTCCACCAGGAGTGCACTGTCCTACAACAGAGCCATTTCATAAGCTGTGCAACTGCGGGATCATGATACAATCCTGGGACGACTGCAGACAGGGCTTCAAGGTCAACCCTTCCAAGGCTTACCTGCCCTGCCCTGCAGTAATAACAATCAGATATTACCTAGAGGATTAGTACCTGTCAAGGGTTACCTGCCGCACCGAATTCTTTTTGATCCTTTCCCTCAAATGCTGGGTAGATTTGAGATGCTTGATTTCCCGATGTTGATCATGAGTAATTCTGACGCCTTCAAACCCTTACTGACGTCGGTAGAGCGAGTTTGAGAGCCTCCGTCGTCGTCGGCCTCCATAATCGCCTCAAGTTTGCGTCTGAAAGAACCAAGTCCTTGAAGTGAACCGTGGCATCTCGAAGCGCTGACTTTTTGTCAGATTGAAATCTCCTTGATCCGCATGAGAATCTGGATGCTGTCAGAACGAGATGGAGAAATTGATGGAGATCACTAGCTAGGTACCTTTTCGATGTAGCGGACAGCAACGACGGTACCATTCACATCGAGGAAGTCTCTTTCATCACCCAGGCCAGTGGCTCCCTTGTCGAGGCAAGTTAGACAAGCTAGCACCACTTCGGTATACCTTTTTCCCATCCTGTTTGGCAAGCACTCTTCGGCCATTCTTATCAAAACCTTCTTCACCTCCGAGGCCGTTTTACGCTCGTCCTTCAGTTTCAAGACGTCATCAATACCCAGTGCTCGGCTGGGTGTGGGCTCATCTGCGTCTTCCTTCCACAGGACGAAAGACGTCCACAAGCCTATCTCTAGTAGACAGACTCCGAGACTGTAAATGTCGTGTTGCATCTTGAAGTCTTCTTCTACACTGATTCCTTGACGCTGAGGATGTCGGTACAGATTTCGTTCCCATCGTGCATCCCCCACTCGGTAAGTGAGACGATCAGTCGGTCGAAACTTTTCAAATCCGACCAGAAAGGGATATCCGAGACCCAAAGAGTCGCCCGTGAAGACAAGAATGGTTTCCGGACGGATGTTCTTGTGTACAAATCCTGAACTGTGGATGAACAAAATCGAACTTGCAAGCTGCTTTGCCAGATCCAAGCGGTCATTAAAGGCATGGTCGTCGCGTTCTTCAACAAGAATGCTCCGGAGGCTCGATGGATTTCGGAGACTGGGCGGTATTGAGAAGACGAACTCGAATCTGGAGAGTGCCCCATCAGCATCAGTATATTTGATCACACCACGACAGGAAAGCAGGCCGAAGACGAGAGGATCTATCTTCGAAAGGACCCTCGCAAGGTTGCGGATATCCTTGGTCACTGCTCCCACGTCGGTGAGAGCGTCGCAGGAGAACGGATCCACAATGACGAGATCGGCACTCCTTTGATCATGGCATGACTGCGAGAAAGAGAAGGGAATAGAATTCCGTCCAGGTGCTAATGTGTCCACCGCAATGAAGATGGACTCGTTTTGGTCATTATTTGTGGTGCGAAGCTCGTCCCTTATTCCTTTGACGGTTGTAGCTGAACTCAGCCTGGTCGCGTTTGGAAATGTTAGTTGCTGGTCGATGGCAGTGCCTGAGACCCGGGTCATTAGAAACCAGGATGGGTCTAGCATTTCCTGCCACGTAGCGAGATCGTTCAAAGTTTTGTGGAGGCAATCTTTGATCATGAGTGCAAATTTCCCCTTTCTATAATGGCCGTTTTCGGTTAAGACGCTCTGCACCGACACATCATCATCTTTGTTGCCGATGATCTGGTCGATGAGTAGGGTAGTCTCGTTGATTTTTAAATACAACACCCGGAGAATGCTATTCTGATGGACTTGGAGGTGTTCCCCAAGGTCAGACCAGACACTTCGTAAGAATTCGACTTGACATTCCGTCTTCAACCAATGGTGTTCAACACGCAGAATTAGTTCCAGAATATCACGTTCGGCGGTTTGATAACTTCGATATTTGGCAACCAGAGATTTGCCACATCTGCATGTGAAGGGTATTACCTTTGGAGTTCTAGCGCAGAAATGTGGCAAAGGAAAAAACGTACTTGATGCACAAATCGGCCATGGAAGCAGCCGCGAGGGCAATGCCGACCGGCTCCATGGTGTGAGGTTTTCGGGTTTCAAACCTGATTGAACAAGAGCATTCGCCCTTTTATTGGAAGGGGGCCGCGTGTGGAAGCTATCGTTTCGAATTGACGTTTCACTATCGTCTTGAGATAATTACCTTCGACATGAAAACCGACATATCTGCCAGATAGAGAACGCATTGGGTGATTCGCTCAGCAACGAATGTCTGCCTGGCTGTGTACTAGTTTCCGGCACGTGCATTGCTTTCCATCCAATCGCTGCTTCGCCTGGATCTGCCCCCCAACAGCCTCGCCGACTTCTTTTGTCTCATTCCATGCATCGAAACTGTCCTCGTCCTGTCAGAATACTGCGTAGAAAGCTTGTGCTTGAAATTTTAATCTTGGAGATATTCCGCCGTTCAAAGGCCTTCCTCCGTCCGGCGATGACAGCGCAAGCGGCGAGCCGCGCCCCGCCGCATTCCTACAGCCTCCCTCACCCCGCCGCATACCCACAGCAAGCCTCCCATGAGCTGGGATCTGATAGAGCATTTCAAGCTCGATGCTCAAATATACGGTGATCATACCTTACATATCGAGCATGTGTCGGACCCCGCACGGGGCTTGCGAAAGGCAAGGGTAGAGAGGAAATGGTACAAAGAAAGAAACATTGGCCATGGAGCATTTGGCGAAGTTTGGTTGGAGGTACAAAAGAAGCGCGGCCAGGTGACTGCGGAGAGGGCAGTAAAGCGCATCCAAAAGTGCCGGATGGAATCTGTCAAAATTGACTACAAGAGAGAGCTCCTCGCGCTGGCTAAGCTGTCTCGGGTATGTGGTGCAAAAGTGAATCCGAGATCGAATGTCAGTAAGCTAACGCCAAAGTGCAGTATCAGGAACTTTTTGTAACGCTCCACGGATGGTACGAAAATAACGACAGCGTCTTTCTCGCGATGGAGTATTTCCCACACGGTGACTTGGACTACTACATTACTCGGGGCATCACAGAAGATGGTGCGAAAATGATCTGTGCGCAATTACTCGACGGTCTGAGCCTAATGCACCGCATTGGATTCACTCATCGTGATCTCAAGCCTCAGGTAGGTTTAAATCTCGTCTGTCGGAATCCGTCCTTCTTTCGCGTTTCTAACCATTCGCGATGCAGAATATCTTCATTGTGTCTACAGAACCTCAGTGGTGGGTCAAGATCGGAGACTTTGGCATTTCGAAGAGGATAGCCGCCGAGCAAACAGCACTACGTACCCATGTGGGAACACAGCATTTTCAAGCTCCTGAAATATTGGGTTACGTAGAAGAAGCAGAGGAGACCTCGGAATACACGAACGCCGTCGACATGTGGTCCTTAGGCTGCGTCACATATTTGATGCTAGCCCAGAGAGTACCTTTCGTCAAGCCCCGAGCTTTGAATGAGTATTGCTCCGGCAGAGTCCAGTTTCCATCCGAAACGCTACGCGAAAGGGGCGTCAGCATGGATGGTCTTCGTTTTGTCGAAGAGTTGTTGAATCCTCATCCATCTCAACGCCTCGCTACGGAGCCAGCTTCCCGGCATGTCTGGCTCCAGCCTTCGTTACCGGTGGAGGTTAAAAACGACAAAGCCCAAGGACGTGAATACCCAGTTCAAGATCTACGACCTCTGCAACAAACTCGTTTGACAAAGCAAACCTTGGAAGCGGAGTTGCACGTCGGTGTTCTTGAGCAGGAACAGTTCCAACACCAGCCTGAAAATCGTGCAAGTTCGAAGCGCGCTATATCTGATGATGACACTTCTTCAATATCCCTAACTTCCTTGCAGACAACACTACCAGCAGCCGTGCAGAGAGAGCAAGCCGTTGACTTTCTCACAAAGACTTCAACCGCGTATTCTTCAGCTATTCAGCCTTCCCCATTGCCTCAGAGGGCCGGTCTAGTATCCGCAACGGACTCGGTCACTGAAGTCCTTGCAAACTGGAACTCAACTTCGGTTTCAAGTTCTTCCCAACCCAATTTAACTAACACATTGCGTCCAAATAGGAGTAGAGATCATCAACCACCACGTGACACTCTCGAAGATGTCCAGGGGCAAGCTAGAACACTAAGAAAGATGACTTATTACTTAGGGGAGCTCAGCGGCCACAAAGGTTTGGTCTATTGCGTGGCATTCTCGCCCGACGGCACCACCGTCACGTCCGGTTGTTCGAAGGGGTCGGTGAGGATATGGGACGCCGCCACGGGAAAGCAGCTGCGGGAGCTCAACGGCCAC